CCCTTAATTTCCAGATAAACATATTACTAAGTAAATAAACAAGTTTAATAAATAAGTTTAAAGTGGCACTGTAAGGGCTGGAGGAGACAGCTCAATGGCAAAAGCACCTGGCTGGCAAGTGCAAGGTCCCGAGTTCAATCCCCAGCACCACAAATAAATAAATAAATAAATAAATAAAAAATAAAATAAAGTGGCACGTTAGTCCTGAGCTATCTCACTGGCCCCCAGAACATGATTTTAATTAGGGCTTTAAAGAAAATAAAGACAGCCAATGACATAGCTCAGTGACACAGTGCCTGCCTGGCAAGCACAAGGTCCTGAGTTCAATTCCTGATACAAAAACAACAATAAAACAAATCAAAAATAGCATGTTGAGGGCTGAAGAGATAGCTCAGAAGCTTAAGCGCCTGCCTGGCAAGTGCAAGGACCCAGGTTTGATCCCCAGTACCACATGCTGTGCCAACATTCTGGGAGTGCCATGCTGGCCACCAAAACAAGCATGGTGGTGCACACCTGTAATCCCAGTGCTGGAGAGGCTGAGACAGGAGGATCACCAGAGTACAAACTGTGTAGTGAGACCTGTACCAAACAAACAAATAAATAAACAATTTTTCTAAGAAATAGCATTTTGAAGGGTGGGCCAGATAGCTCAGTGGATTAAAGGGCCTCCTTAGGCACAGCAGGGACTGGGGTTTGATCCCTGATGTGCCCTTCTGGCCCCAACCCTGGGGCATGCTGAGAAAACAATAGAGACAAGGCATGGTGGTGCACTGTAATCCAAGTGCTTGGGAGACTGAAAATAGGAGGATCACTACCAGTCCGATCTGTGTAGTGAGACCTTGTAGACCCTGTACTAAATGCATTAAAAAAATATTAAATTTAAAATAAATAAATAAATAGTAGCATTTTGAAAGCTAGGCATGGTGGCACATCACTATAATACCAGGAATCAGGAGGCCGAGGCAGGAAGATTGTTTCAAGTTTGAGAGCAGCCTGAATTACATAGTGAATTCAAAGCCAGCCTAAAATATATAGCAAGACCCTGTCTAAAAACAACAACAATAAAAAAAATTTTTTTTTTTTAGATTCTCAGTCAAGGGAAAGGAGTAAATAGGTCCTAAATAATTTTGAGGAAAATGACAAAGCTGGGTGTGATAGTACACAACTGCAATCCCAGCACTTTGGAGGTTGAAGCAGTTATTACAGGCAGCTAATTTTTTTTTTTTTTTTTTTTGTCTTTTGAAACAGGATTTCACTATTCAATTCATGCTGGTCTTGAACCTGCTTTGTAGCCCAGGTTGACTTCAAACTATCAGCAATCCTTCTGCCTCAGCCTCCTGAGTGCTGCTGAAATAACAGGCATGCACTACCACGCCTGGATATAGGCAGCTAAATTAGATAGAAATTAATTTACAGTCAGAGAGGGACTAGGC